CCTATAGTGTGACTGTTAGGTATGAAACAGTTATCAGTTATATAAATTAGCTGAATTAAATGTTTTCTTAATTTGAGATCAGCTGATTAACAAAAAAAGAAAAAGGGATTGATAGATAACTCGAGTTGGGCCTTATTTTACTATTGTTGTGGGCCGACAAGAAGGTATGATAATGCAGTATATTTGTAACAGTCAATAGTAGTACATGTAAATTCCTATTGTGAAGATGAGGGCAAATTATGATATTCAGCAAGGGTAATTTTGACATTGGAAAAAGGGAAAAGCAAATAAGGCTTTTCATTTGGGTTTCAAATTAGCTTGAAGAAATTGGAAAAAGCATGCGTCTGATTCATCTATCCTTGAATTGATGTGAAGCAAAATGATGTTTTGATGTGAAGGAGAAATTGACATCATTGAGTGAAAGAATGGAGACAACAAAGACACAAAGAAGAAAAATATGGGCTAGGGCATGGAGATAAAAGAGGGCAGAAAGGAAGGAAGTGATAGAGGTATCAATTTAAGGGCTAAATTGCTCGTTATTTCTAGGTAACAAGATAAGCATGTGTTTGACGTCTATTATACGATAAGTTTTTGTTTTTAAGGCTATTCTAGATTTGCTATTGTAAGTTATCGATAATGAAGAGAGCTAAAACCAATACGACAAAATTAATAATTAATAATTTAGTGAATAAACTATTAATTTTTTGACAATTAAGTGGATTTTATACATATAGATAGCCGGAAATCCTTGTAGGACGACATGGACCCACTTATTCACTTGGTCATTTTTTAGTCAGCGCCAAATAGGAATCCACGTGGATTACACTAACTAATAATGGGAAATGACAAACCTACCCCTGTCTTAATAGCCTCTATGCCCCCATTCACCCAAACATTGACCCGAGGATTGACCCGCTTAAAACCCACACCTTCTCCTTTTCTCTCTAGACCCATCTCTATTATCTCCAATGGCGAAAATCCAAGAGCCCAAGAAAAAAAAACCGGTAAAAATATCAGATGCTAATTCCAAAGGAAACCCCTTCAAAAATCCAATTTCTTTAAACCTAAGAGCGAAACGTTCGCCTTATTGTTGGGCATCAGCTCTGATATCAGTTGTTGGGCATCAACTCTGATACCACTTGTTAGGCATCAGCTCTGATACCAGTTTTTGGGTATCAGCTCTAATACCAGTTTTTGGGCCCTTTCAACCAATTAAGAGAAAATTACCACAGCGGAAAAATAGAAATGGGACACATAGAAATTTACGTGGTTCACCCTCAACTGTTTAGGGCTACGTCCACGAGACAAACTCTGAATAATTCTTCCACTATTAAAAAATAGTAGGTACACAAAGAGAGTAATACAAAAATAGTGGCACTCAAAGTGTTTTCCAAAAACACCCACCAAAAAGAGGTAAATACAAAAATAAGTGGGCATCAAAATTGTTTATCCAAAAAAGAGAGTAATACAAAAATAGTGGCACTCAAAGTGTTTTCCAAAAACACCCCATAATAATTTCCTCACTATTTTTCTCTCCCTAATTTTAGAAAACTCTTCCTAAAACTAGATATCTCTCTCTACATTTTTTTTTTCTTCTTTTCTGCTGTGTGTGTGTTGAGTCTTGGCTAATCTCCTCTATTTATAGGAGAACAATACAAGTGCAAATTGGCTACCACCTCCAATTTGCACAAGTTTCTTCCTTCCCTTTTTGACTTTTCCCCTTTTTTTTTTCTTTCATGTGTGTGGGTCCCACTGAGTGGGCACCGCCACCACCAACAAAAATGTGTAGGTCCCGCTTGAGTGGGCACCGTCACAACAAATCTCCCCCTGCACACTCAAATTGGGACGTTAGCCATCATCATCTTGCAGCTAACCGACAGTGTTCAAACTTCTCCTTTGAAAGAATCTTCGTCAACATGACTGATCCATTTTCTTCTGTATGGATCTTCTCAAGCCGTAACAGCTTCATTTCCAACACATCACTGATCCAGTGATTTCTAACACCAATGTGTTTTGATCTTGAATGGAAGGAGGAATTCTTTCAAAGGTGAATTGCGCTTTGACTATCGCAAAATATCTGATATTGTTTTTGATGAATTCCGAGTTCATTCAAGAATTTCTTTATCCATAGCAACTCCTTGCACACTTCGGTAATCTTGACTGCCACAACATGGCTCCCCCTGCAAATGTGATTGGACATCCTTAAAATCCATTTCACTGCAGTCCAATGTTCTTTTCCAGGATTTGAAAGAAACCAACTCACTACTCCAACTGAGTGAGCAATATCTGGCCGCTCCAATGACGTGGAGCAACTATTGGCCGTGTACAAACCATGCATTCATTCAAAGTTTACCAATGCTGAAGCAGCATGGAGAATCTTTTTGCATTTCTTCCATTCTCTTCATCAATGTCGAAGGGCACCTATTTAGAAACTCAATTTAAGTTGATTAGTAAAGGAGACAACTAACCATTAGCGTTTCCAATTGCTAACCTTTGAAGA